TCGAGGAGGAGACATCTCCTCCACCCAAGAGTTGGGTTCCGCGTGCCGGACGGTAACACGGGCAGGATGAAGGAGCTGGCTCGTTAATCAAGTGAGGCTTCAGGAATCAAGCTGGGTTCAGGAATAACCCACACCGGAGCCACGCTGGATTTCACGCATCCGTTAGACCGAAATCGAGGTGGCCATCATCGCGACCATGCAGGAAAATGGGATGGAAAATCCCCGGCCACCCGCGCCCTGCCGGCATCACCGGCTGATGGCCACGAGCAAGAGCTTGCTGAGATCAAGGAAGAACCAGAAGATGCCTTAAAACTTGGGGTTTAGTCCCCAGAATCGAGCGGATCGGGGTGGGATTTTTTGGGATACCTCTCCCCAGACCCCCTTTGCCTGCCCACCAGGCTGCAGCTCCGTGGACCACTCGCCAACCCCACCATCTCCTGGTCTCCTGCTCCAGAGGGGCTTCACCTCCACCTCCCCTTCCACAAGCAAACCAGAAACTCCATTCCACCGAGCTGGCTTAAATATAAACCTTATAATGGGATGTAAGGGATGGCTTTACTCCTCTTTATCCTAAAAAAATAAAGATTTTTTTTTTTTTCCCTAGCCAAGCTTTGTAATATCTTACTGTAATAAAGGGATTTTCTCACTTTCCACCTCGGATCGGTACCGAGGGCTGAGAAAACACTGTCCAGCACCTCCTGCTTTCAATAAAAATCAGTTTTCAAGAGAACTGGGGAAAAAACAAACCAAACCAAAACAAAACAGAGGGGAAACATGCTGGAAACCACCCACCTCCCCAGCAGCCTGACTTGCTTGATGAAATATTTGTCCCAGGCAAGAAAATATCTACCAAAAAAAAAAAAAAAAAGATGCTTATCATCAGGTGGGGGCCAAACTCAAACTCAACTGAATTTTTGAGACCCGCAGCCACGCTCCCTTAAACTGGGAAGGAAGAAAACATCTGTTGGTTTGATTTTTCTTGATTATTTAATTTTTTTTTTATTTTTTTTTTCAGTCTATCGGGGTCATCCTCAACAAGTTTTGCTCTCGCCCAACGCGAATCCAGCAGCGGATCTTAGCGCCGGGCTGGATAAGCATTACAGAGCTGCCCCAGTTTCAACCAGTTGCCAAGAGCATCGCAACCGCGTCTGCTCCAGTTCCCCTCCCAGCTCGGGGGCTTTGCCGTGACGCTCTTAAGGAATTAAAATCCGTTCACGTTAAAGCCTCGTCCTCTTCCGCGGGATGAACCACCTGCCCAGGGATGGAGGCGGGGAGGGGACGGCACGTGATGGATACATCCCCGTGAGCTGGGGATGTATTAGCAGTGGGGGTGAATGGGAAATAATGTCCCATCTGTCACAGCTCTTTGAGATTAAGGAGGTGGGGGAAGAGGGGTAAAAAGCAAAGGAGGGGCAAAAAGGAGAGGAAAGGAAAAGAGGGGCAAAAAGAAAAAGAAAGAGGGGCAAAAGGGAAAATAAGAAAGAGACAGGGTAAAAGAAAGGGGGGGGGGAAAGAAAAAGAAGGGCAAAAAGGAAAGAAAAGAGGCAAAAAGGAAAGAAAAAGGAAGGGCAAGGAGGAAAAAGAAAGGGGGCAAAAAGGAACAAGAAAAGGAGGAGAAAGAAAAAAGAAAGGGGCAAAAAGGAAGGAAAAAGAAAGGGGCAAAAAGGAAGGAAGAAGAAGGGCAAAAA